ATACGCCCAGCCCTGAAGTAGGATTTTCAAGTTAATCTTTTGCATAAGGATATCTAATTGGTCTACCACCATTTGTTGAAAAGACTGTTTCTTTCTCATTGAATTTTCTTGGCAACTTGTTCAGTGGACTGCTAATGTAAAGGTGCTATTGTTCTTAAGATACCATTTATATACCATTAAACTACTAGTTATAAATATATATTACATTGATTAGAATTCTTGCACATATCTCAGAGATGTTAATGTCAGAATTGGGAGTGCCAGTTCAGTGAATACATTATTTCACAATACTAGTGAAATACATTATTTCACTAATTTATAAATAAGTACATGCTACTAGTTGCTGTCTACTGCTTCACTGTTTTCTGGGGTTTTTTTTTTGGTGTGGTTTTGATGATTCCTTCAAGATACCATGCTCCTCACACAGGTGTTTTATTACTTCTGTCCCTTGAGAAGCAGAGCCCTCCTTGTCACACTCGTTGCTCTGCCTTAGCTTGCAGACAGAGGCGATGTGCATGATTTATTTATTTAATGACCGATCAAAGTGATTTCTTCCCCTGACCCGCCAAGTTTCATGTAAACAAATAAGCTCTATTGGGAGCGGTTTCATTCAAACAAATTCGTTTTAGGAAGTGCAACGGAGCGGAAGTCATGTTTGGAGCAAAAAGCTACCCAGGGACGTCTGTGACTTGGCTGTTTTATTAAAGGATTAGTGTTATTTACATTGTTTAAATAGTAATTTTTCAGCAAAAAAAAAAAAAAATCTCTGAAGACCTGTATTATTTCATTACATAGAAATTTTAGTAATGAATGGGAAGCAAGTGACGAAAACCACATTCTAAATAAAGGATTCTTGTTTTTTTTTGTGTGTGTGTGCTTTGGCATTCTTAATTATTTTGGCTTTTTCAGAGAGTGATGTGAGCTTGTTATTCTGAAGGATGTGAAACAAAATTTAACTTTAGGGCGATAAGGTGACTTTGTTTTAGAAATAAGCACCCCTCCCCCACATTCCAGAAAGGTGAGTATTTGACAGTGGCCTTTGAAATCCCTGAGAAACTGTGGGCGCTTGTCTCCTTTGCCTGCTGATGAGGAGGCGTAGAGCGCGCTTAGGACAGTCTGCTCCCCGCTTCCCCTGTCAGCACCTGACTGTGGGAGCACAATAAGATGCAAATCGCAGATTTCAAAAGCTGGCGATACAGGTGTTAGATTTCTAAGTGTCCAGGGATGTGCGTGCCAATTATGTTTTAGTTTCTCTAGCAACATTTTTGTCTGTATTTTTGAAAATGATAGCGTAGTCTTGTGTTAGTTTATGTAATGGGAGAAATTTCTTCTCTTTCTCTTTTTTTAAATGCATTTGGCACAGGGTCTCACTATGCAGCTTGGACTCGTGGTGATCCTCCTGTCTCAGCCTCCCCAGCACTGGGATTACAGGCGTGCGCCACCACGCCCAGACTCTTCTCATTTTTAGCATTGTGTGAGATACCAGTTTTCCCTTGCCAGTTATTTGGGTGACATTTAAATATACACTGTTTTTGGGCCAGCAAGATAGCTCTGTGGTCTAAAGTGCCTGCTTAGGCAAGCACAGGGGCCGTGGTTCAATCCCAGCACTGCATGCCACGCCAGCCCTCCCCCCAGAGTGGGCTGAGCCAGCCACAAAAAAATAAAAACAAAAAAACAACAACAAAAAAACCCCACCTTTTTTTTTTTTTCCCAGCAACACTTGCAGTACACATTGTTTACATTCCCATTAAGGCAGGGGCCAGGGATACAGCTCAGTGGCACAGTACTTGCCTGGCAAGCACAAGGTCCTGAGTTCGGTTGCTAGTACCAAAACAAAACAAAACAAAACAAAACAAAACAAAACAAGCCCACAAAACCCATTAGGAAGTTATTTGGGTGGCTTCTAGCAAGATCCGTGAAAGTGCACAGAAGTCTTTGTGATCCTGGCTGTTGTGTGGAGGCATTTCCTCCAGCAGGGATTTGTGTAGCTTGCTGTGACCTGTTTTCTTCTCCAGCATGGTGGCGTAGTCTAAGCAGTCACGGGCACAGTGACAGCAGCTCTGTGACTCGGGCATATGTCCCAAATGCTGCCGGATCCAGCCAGGCCGGGAGTGGTTCTTGGCGGTGTCCTGGACGAGCGGCTCTGTGTCATTCCTCCCCACCTTGCTATCCTGACCCACAGTCAAGCACTGTGAGGCTCGGTGTCTGGGGAAATTCTGCCTCATGAAGAGAAATCCTCTTCAGCAAACGCCTGGAAGTGATGGGTGTTAGATAGAGGTGGTGCCTCTGCTGAGCTGGAGGCGCGAAGGGCAGTGACACTAAGGTACGGGGAGTGTCGCATATGACATGGGTAGAATGTCTTATCAATGACATGTGTAGAGTGTCATAGACCATGTACAGAGCACCATGTATGACATGTTTAGAGTATCATATCTATAACGTGTATATAGTATTCAACACAGGGTATATATGTGACACATACAGTGCCATGACAGAGTATCATATATGACATGTAGAGTATCATTTATAATTTAGAGCATCATAGTTGTGATACATCTAGAATATTATATATGTGATTTGTGTAGGGTATTGTGATACATACTGTCATATGACACTATCACATATGAAACATAGAGGATCATATATGTGGCACATGGAGTATTACCTATGACACATTTAAAATATCATGTACATGGCAAGAGCAAGTTTTCCAGGCAGGAGGGCTTGTCCGCAGGCTTGAGCAGCACTGGGTCCTGGAGCCTGAGCAGAAGGGAGCTCCCCCATAAGGAGCAGGGGTGTCAAGGGACCTTGGTGTGCAGCGCACCCGCTGGGGTCACCTACTGCACGACGGGCCACATTCTTAAAGGCTTGCCACCTCAAATTGCAAAAGAACTTAGGCCTCAGGCCCCCCAGACAGGCCTTGCTGAAACGCTTGTGTATGGTGGGGAGGACATCGCTGTGATTTGAGGGACATATCCTTCTCTAAAATGGAATTATTCCTAAATTCGAAACAGAGATGTGGTTATTGATGACCCTGTCGTGTGACTGTAGTGGGACACAACCTAACCATACAAGTGACACTGTCAGCCTACTGTCCCTGCCACATTGTTCATGTGTATATTGATATGTAATAGGAACTGAAGTGTTGCCTTCATTAGTTAGCTTAACACAACTGTTTTACTTATAAAAGGATCTGCAGCTGTTTATGACCCCAGCCTCTAGGATAGATACTCAGATGCTAGCAGAGGTCATTTCTTCGTGGCATTTAGAGTCATCTTCACGTGCAGTTTATGTCGTGGTATCGTTTGCCTTGCAATGAGTAAGACCTTCAGAGCTAGAACAGATGCATCGTGAAGCCTAAGGAGGAGCTGAACGCCTCCTCTGGCCTGTCTGAGGCAGGCAGGCCGCCTGTGCTTGTTGATTGCTGCTGTGTAAACATAATTTCAAGTTTTCTTCCAACCGTAGAAATCCTGACTATGTCATGGAGTGGGCAGCAGGGCACCCTGCACCTTGCTTCATTGTCCTGGGCATAGGTCAGCATTTGCCAGCTAGGAACGAGGGTCTTCCCTGAAGTAGCCTAATAGGAGCGTCACCTTCACAAGTAGGTCATTGTTATGGTCCTGTTACCGACTTGGTGACCCATTGCCTAGTGAAGCCTCTTATCTCTTTCTAAAAGGTATTTCTTTTTGCTGCTTTACTTCACTGATCTTTGTAATACAGAATATTTGGCTTTTCTGCTTTCATATATTGGTACTTTTGAGGAGGAGGCTATTACAGGTTCCTTCCTTTCCTCTACCCCTGCAAATTCTTTCTCAAGGTCTTGCTGTGTAGCCCAGGCTGGCCTCAGATGCCTCCTTCTCCCCCTGTTCCCCTCCTTCGCCAGAGCAGCGGCCACAGGCGTGCATCACTGTGCCCAGCTTGAGATTTTTGAGATACGGCTTCACAAGTTGTCCCAGCTGACCTCCAGTTTGTAGTCGTCCTGCCTCAGCCTCCCAGGTAGCTGCAATTACCGGTGCACGGCATCAGGCCAAGCTGAGCCAGAGCTGACGCTGACGCCTCGTGGCAGGTGCCTGTAATCGCAGCCGCTTGGAGCTCAAGGTAGGGGGCTGTGGAGGCCAAGGCCAGTGAGACCCTGTCTCACGACAGAAACGAAGACCTTGAGGATGTTTACGTATTGACTGGCACTCTTCAGATCGGTGTTTGTTTCCTGTGTTGTCTACTATAGTTATCGAAACCTGTGTTGATAAAGAATGAATCTACTACACAGGTTTTACAAGCAAGCCTGACTAAAAAGTCCCTTTCAAAAATGGTTATGCATGTATTTCCATCTTTCTTTTTTCCTGGACAAAGTCTACAGAGTTTTCCCAGGGAGGGAGGAGGGAGGGAGAGAGAGAGAAAGAGAGAGAGAGAGTTTTCTGTGGTGCTGTACATTAGCACTTAGTGTATTGGGAATAATTTTCTTAGGAATGGGCAGCTGGTAAATGAATGTGAACAGACTCTGTCAACCTCCTTGTTTTCCTGCCAGCCAAATGGTGTTGCCTGGGTTCTAACTTTTGTATTTTAATAACCTTGGTAGTTGTCTTAGTCTTTTACTACTCATGCAAAATGAAGGGCTTTCATCGGCTTTAGTTTTCATAAATGTTCTTATGCCACAGAAGGAACTTCTAGAATATGGTAGGGTATCCCAGTATTTGTTTAATGGTTATTGGTAATTTGGTAATTTGGTAACCGGAAGATTTCATTTGCAGCTACCTTGTTGCATGTGCCTGATCATAACTGATGGGGGAAATAGCAAGCCTGCGATATTTGCGAATTGCCACGTGCTTTACTTTCTGATTATTTGTAAGTTCTGATACATCTGTGTATATATGTGTGTGCGTACAAATTATCAGCAGGATTAATAACGCTGTAGCATTTGATGACTCACAGATGGGTCGAGGTAAACTCACGCCGAGAACAAGGCGTGTTCTCACCTCTTCACTGCTCTTTCTTAGGCAACAGAAACTACGCCAAGGACGACCCTCTGGAGTTCAAGTCCCACCAGTGGTTTGGAGCCTCTGTGAGGTCAAAACAGGACAAAATTCTGGTGAGTCCTTTGGCTGTCCTCACAAGCAAGTTGCTCCGTTTATGTGCAGGCCCAGGAGGTTTTGTTTCCAAGCCAAGAGCAAAACTCCCTGGGCTGGGGCGGCGTCCAAGGAGGTGGGCAGCTCTGCCCGGGTCTCCCGCCTCTGGAGACGGCCTCTGCCCCTGTGGCCCCCTCCTGCGTTGCTCCTCTCCCCTGCCCCACCGCATGGTTCCTGTCCCTTCCTGTCCCTTTATTTCTGCCCAGGAATGGTGGTGTACCAAGGAACAGGTGCTCAGGCAGCAGACAGCCTTCCTGACCCTGGCTTCCCCTCTGTCACCTCCTGTCTTAGTTTTTTTTCATTGCTGGGACAGAGTACCTGACACACCAAATTAAGGAAGGAAAGGCTTAGGTTACAGTTCGTGGAGGTTTCAGTCCATACTCAGCTGGCTCCAAGGCAAACTGGAACATGGCAGAGGGCAAGAGTTCATGGCTGCAGAAAGCAGCATAACAGCAAGAGCAAAAGGGAGGAGTATGCAAGCAGGTGCAGGGGCTGGGGGTTGTCTCCCTTAGATTGCCTTCACGTTGTCTGCCCCAGGCTGGGTGTAGCATAACCCTAGCACCAGATCATGAATTAATCAAAACTCTAGAAGCCTGCCCCATAACTGCACGAGGCTTTGCGGGGGTGACTAAACACGAACCGTAGCACCTCCCATCTCTGGATGAAAGTGTTCTGGGAGTTATCACCTCTACCTGTCACATCCTCTTCTGGTCCTCAAGGGTTGTGAGGCTAAAGGTCACCCTTGTCTTTCTGACTACTGAAATCACTGTGACAGCTTTGTGGAATAGGCATAGCCATGATGTTTACCATTGTCCTTTGGGGTTTATTTTTCACCTTACGGCACCAGTGGGATGGGAGTCTGGATTGAACTCAAGCCCTTGCACTTGCCAGGGAAGCGCGTCTTCCACTGAGCCATCTCTCTGGCCCCTAGATGTTGGGTTTTTATTAAGTGTAGAAAGTGCTGTATTCTGAGGTAGCAGAGACACTCTGAAATGGTGGTTTTCTGGATTTTCATCCGCTGCACTTAACCTTCACTCTTAGGCCTGTGCCCCCTTGTACCACTGGAGGACGGAGCAGAAGCAGGAGCGGGAGCCCGTTGGAACCTGCTTTCTTCAGTCTGGAACGAAGACCGTGGAGTATGCTCCGTGCAGGTCAAGTACGTGCCGCAGGTCGTGCCGCGCTTAGCAAAGGGCTGGGCAGGGTGGCTCGCTCACACGTGTGTGCCAGTGTGAGCGAGTGTGCATGACCAAGAGTGTGGGTGTGCCCTGAGGGCACTCGGCACCTAACCAAAGCAGTCCTATCCAGGCTTAGGTGGGAAGCGGTGGATTTACTGCATCTCTCTGAGAACTACTTTGTCTTCCTTGCTCAGCAATCATTAATAACTGACTTGGGAAGCCTGCGACTTTCATCGCAGCCAGTCAGAAGGTGCGCAGTGAGCTGCTGCAGCAGATGAGGCCCCAAGGAGAGTTGCCCTCTGGCAGGCGTGGGCTAGACGGGTGCTTGCACCTTAACAAGGTCTGCAAGGGGATTTGGGTGGATACCAGAGTTAGAGCACCACCCCTTCGGGTGAGCAGTGGTGTTGAAAATGAGAAGTGAGACATCCAGAGCTCGGTAGGAAGGGCGCATGCCAGAGAGGGAGGCTTGCGCCCGAGTCTCCCAGCCTTCCCCAGCGTTTCTCTGTTACCTGGTCACCAAGCCTACCTCTCTTCGAGCGATCCAGCCAATCGCATGCTCTGCCCTGATAGTATTTAGCACTTCAGATACACTTCCGGTGGTGCCAGCAGGGTTCCACGCGGTCTTCTTCCCCTTTGATTCCCGTCCTCTTCCATGCCTGCCTTTATTACTTTGGCCACTGTTCTGGTTCTCTGGCCTGAAAACGGTTACAGAGAAGCCTAAAATGCTTCTCCCTCTCTGGCAGGTACCATCCCAAGTGTCTGTGGGAACCCACAGACTACAGGTGCCCAACGTTCCAGTGTGCCCCCAGTACATGCGTACATATGTACGTACACATATATACATGCATGCATACCTTTGAAAGTTTGAAAACTTCACCACACTCAGACTAACAACAACAACTGTCCCTAGGACAGAATTATAGCAACTTACTCTAATAAAAGACTGTATTTAAAATTTACGAATTGTTGATTTCTGGAACTTTTTTTTTCATGTATTTGCTACAGAGTATCACTGTGCAGCTTGGACTCATGGTGATCCTCCAGCTTTCAGCCTCCCCTGCACTGGGATTACAGGTGTGCATCATCACGCCTGATCTCAGTGGCAGGCTCAGCTAGCCTGGAGGTAGGGCCAGCGCAGCATGTGGTACCCAGGATCAAACCCGGATCTCTGCACTTACCTAAACAGGTGCTTAGTGCACTGAGCTATCTCACTGGCCCTGTTTCTGGAACTTTTCATCTAGTATGCTAAGATTGCAGTTGACTGCTACTAATGGAAATTGTCAAAAGCACCAGGGAATGAGTACTTAGTGCTTATTCCTGGGACACTTTCCAGGCTAATAGTAGTTACAGCAGTAGTGGGGATTAAACCCAAAATGCCTTTTTACTGAGTTACATGTGCAGGTCTTTTTTTGGTTTTGATACTGGGTCTTCCTAAGTTGCCCAGGCTGGATTTGAACTTATGATTCTCCTGCCTTGGCCTTCCAGAGGGCTGAGGTTACCTGCAAACTCATGCATATCTGTCTTAGGCCATTACTTGTTATGTTCTACTGGTCCCCAGACAGTTGAGTAAAAAGAATCAGTAACATGGGCTGGCAAGATAGCTCAGTGCACTAAGGACCTGCTTAGGCAAGCATAGGGACCAGGGTTTGATCCCTGCTCCCACATGCTGTATTGGCCCCACCTCCAGGTTAGCTGAGCCAGCCACTGAGACTGGGCATGGTGGAGTGTGCCTGTAATCCCAGCACTAAGGCGGCTAAAAACAGGAGGATCACTACGAGTCTGAGCTGCATAGTAAGACCCTATACCGAATGCATAAAATGAAAAAAAAAAAAAAAAAAAAAAAAAAAAAAAAAAAAAAAAAAAAAAAAA